TCTTTAATCAGAAATATTGTATGCACATGTGTATCTTTATTTGTATTTAAAAAATTTTGTAGTCTTCCTCGAAAAAAAATTTCGTAGTCTCTCGAGAAAAAAATTAAAAAATTTAAAAAGCAGAATTAAATGTTACGATAATATTAATTAGATTAACTTACATACAGCTCTTGTTAACCATGAATATCACGATACGATACTTGTGAAGAAGGGACAAAATTTCTGGATAATATCTTAATACTCGCTCAAAAGAGCGAAGCTGGTAAAAGCTTGGCGCATCGTAAATTGCTGCTTCTCGTAATTATTATTGCTAGCCATAGCTAAACGTCCTCCATTCTGTAACCCGTTATAGCGACGAGCTGTGTTAAGTTAACAGCAACTATAGTACGCGGTAATAAGCTTTGGTATTCGTGATATTGTCCAACGTGTTGAAGAAATAACGACCGAAGTTTCTCCTCTCTCTCTTTTTTAATAAGAATTATTCTATAATTATCATCTTCGATAGACCGATAATCTCCGACAAACGAGATCGTCTACTGCAATAATTAGACGATCACGCGATAAGTAATTATTGTATTAACTTACGCGTACACCTGCAATATCCTATGGCGCATCTCACCAAATATTTCCCTTGTTGCATTATTCTCGCTCTTGTGAAGTTCTAATATATCCACGCAGATTAAAGCTTCGGTGTACCGACACAAAGTAAATTTAACCCGCATTTACGGCAAGCTATACCGCGAAATTGGTATTAAATTACTATAATTAATTGCCACGAGTAAGCTATACCTCGGTCGTGCACGTCATTACTATGTATTTCTATTCTCAGTGCATACGGATTCGATAATTTATCGGTATATAAATTAACGATCTAGATAAATTAAAGAAAGACAATGATACACACGCCGAATTGATCTAAAATTGCGACGTGTAATTAATTAACAGAGTATACTTAACAGAGTATACGTAACAAAGTATACTTAACAATGGAATTTAAGAAACATAAAATGTGCATGGAAAAAAATTGATAAATTCTTAAACAATTTTTTCGAAACAGTTTTTAAATAAATTGATAAGAGTAGTCAAAGACAATTTATATAATAAAGATATCTTTTAATTTAATATTTAAAAAAATTTAAATATTTATTAAAAAATGCATATCATCTGCATATGACATCTGGATATAAATTTACATTCAAATAAATTACGTTTCATTTATTTAAAACGATTTAATTATGGAACATTTTAATTATATTTCGTTTATTCTTTTTCTTATTTTATTAGTATTCTACTAATTACTGTTACTTAATATTTTAGAGAAAAAGTCGATTAATATAATTATCGATTCATGTAATTAAAAAAATTAATTACCTGTTGCTACTAACTAATTAATAGAATATAAAATGAAACATAATGAAACCATTTATTTGATTATATGGTACCACTTTAAATTGTGAACATTTCTGAAAAATAAATTTTTTGTAGAAAGAGAAGTGTGATCTATGTTTATATATAATCTATCCCGTGGCAGTCGAGAAAAAACTGATATAATTATTTTTTTTTCACAACGCGAAAATATCGATGTACTTTGTTTAAAAAGATTTATTTAATATGGCATGGTTTTTTAAAATTGCTTTCAACCCAAGTGCCTTTATTAACGACATGATACTCTGTTTAATGCTTACGGTGATAAGGAAAATGATATTTTTTCCACGATACTTGGCGCATATAATGTTGCACTATAGTATCTCATCCTCTCTTCTTCCTGTCTTCGCCCTCCACATTTTCCCCGTTCCATTATACGTGGACGCGGGTCATAATGTATTCGCTCGGTCTAAAGTGTTCATGGCCACCATACGCGTGGAACACCAAGACTGGATATAACCCATGCACCATGTACCGCTGCTGCAAAATTGGTGTTAAATTACGATTATTAATTGCAGTAAACAAGCTACATCGCGCGCCATCCGCTTCACATAGTCGCGTCATTTGCCTTTAATCCAGCTGTACCGGGTATCCGCGCTTCGGAGATTACTATGCGAAAATTTTCGGGCAAAATGGGGCGGAAATTATTTTGAAGCGATCTGATAGGATTTTAAGAAAAATATTCAGGGGTGTTTCAGTGAACACTTTGCACATTAATTCACTGACTAACGTCCTCTTCAATGATAATAAAATAAATAAATTTGAAGAAATTTTGTGACCTTGGATCTCTTAAGAGGATAACTGTTGATATAAATAGAATAGAAACAAATTTAAATATTACTATATTTGTCAATAAATAATTCACGCCTGTATACACGTGAAATTAGGTAGTAATGCAACAAGTTTATTTTAAAAATTTATTTTATTTTATTTATTTTAGTTTAAAAATTGTTAGAATCCAAAATTTAGAAAACATATGTTTTATCTTTTTTCTTTTTTATTTTAAAAAATTATGAGAATAAAAAAATTATGATTTTATAGCATATATTAGAATTCGAATCGAAATATAATAATAAAGTACGCAAATACAACAGTCAATCATGATGATCCTAGCATTATATTTTAATTAAAATATGCCAGGATCATCATGATTGACTATTGTATTTCCGTACTTTAATTGACATCATTTCGTCATTATTCAATTTATAATTGTTTTTCTATAAATCGATCTAAAGTTGTAAAAGATAATATTCGTCAAAATATTATATTGACATTGAAAATTTGCGAAAACTTAAATCTTATCTTGATTTTATTAAAACAAATCTTTGTAAAAATCTCGTCGCGTATTGTCGCATATCTCGATTTTATTAAAAATGTTTATTTAATACTAAACAATTTAAAATAATAATTAATTAATCTAAATAATAATTATATAATCTTTATAACATATAATAATTTAACACAATTATTATTATTTCTGTCATTCGTTTACTTTTCAAAAGAAAACTATATATATAAATTTTATATATATTATATATTATATATAAATTTTATGTTAAGCTAAATAATTGTGTAAAATTCTCTATTATTTATTTTGTTTATTGTATTATTTTGTTTTTTCCAAAGTTTATTAATATAAATGTTTATAAACAAACAAATTAAAAATTTCACCATGTTAATATAAATGTTGTTAAACAAATAAATAAAAAATCTCGTCTCGAATATCAAGACTAGTGGTGGAAAAATTCAAGCTAAATCACCCAACTAAATCGGCGCTTCTCGAAACATCACTCGCTAACATCACTCTATATTCTATCACGTATGTTATTTCGCGACTGCTCCGTGCCAGCTATTTCATATGTCGCGGATTCACGATCCAGGAGCGCGAAGGTTTATTGCAAGCGCTTATGGCGAATGAAAAATGGTGGTAGCATCGAGCAAGCACGATAACGATTGCGTATCGTGATCGGTAGCATTTCATTCCGACTCGATATAACGTGTTGTACGAATCCGTTTGCTTGCTTGCTTGCAAATGCAACGTTATTACTGGCTGGTATTAGCCGCCCGCGCACCCACACAAACGTGAAACGGATTTATTTGCGAGCGAGCATAGCGTTAACGTTTACGTTTCGATCCGATCGACGGTTATCCGCGCTCTATTGCCTATCTATCCGCTTCTGAAGCTTCTGACCGCACAAACTCGCGCGGACTTCGGTCGATGCTACGCAATGCGTATAGAATGCGTGGAATGAACTGCGGAATTTTTCCCTCCCCCTCGGGATAAAATAGCACTAATGTTAATGAATGATTTTATTTTAAAATTTAAATATTGCGAGAAGAGAAAAATTATACGTGGTTAGGGTTGCATGAGATACTAAGAGTAGTCTTGATATTGTCTTGTCTTGTCTTGAATTTCAAGACAAGATCAAGACAAGATTTTTAATTAGTTATCAAGACAATATCAAGACGAAGATTGTCAAGATTATTAGTCTTGTCAAGATTATTGGTTCTCAAAAAAAATAAAATATTTATATTTGTAAATAAAAAAAAATCACCATATACGAATTTAAAAAAATTTTATTCAATGAAAACATTTATATTAATAAATTTAAAAACATTTAATATTAATACAATATAACATTTTTATAAATTAGAAATCAAACTCGCAAATTTTAGACATTAAAGAGCATTTTACCTAGGAATTGATGCACATTAGTACTTTTAAAGATTTACTTTGTAATCTGGTTCTATTTTTTGACATAGTCAGAGTTCCTATTGAGAAAAGTCTTTCTACTGGCATGGACGAGGCGGTTGAACTTAAAATGTTTCGAGTCATTTTTGACAATGTGGGATAAATATGAACTTGATTTTTTTACTACTCCAAAATATTTATATCTGCATATTCCCTTGGAGCCTGTAAATAGTTATTAATTTCTGTTTTCCATGAAACAGTAAATGTTTTTTTATGTAAACAGACGGCATTTATATCGATTACATAGTAATCATTATAATTAAAATATAATACAATAGTAATAATTATTTCAAATTATATTACAAAAATTATGTTAAATATTATTTAAATAATTTTTAATATTAGATAAAAAATTGTTAATAAAATCGAGACAAGACAATACAAGACGAGATTTTTGTTACCAATATTCACTCAAGACCAAGACAAAATTTAAATTTTTGAAAATTTTTAATATCAATACAATATTCTTACGAATATTGTCTCGTCTTGGGTCTTGTGCAATTCTACGTAATAAGAAGGAATTTTATTTTATTTTATTTTTTTTTAATCCATTCATGTTCATTCATGAAACATGCATCGTCTGTTCCATCTTCCGTTTCAAATTTTAGCGATCGCAAGCTCTTAGCTCCGAAATCAATACCGGTGCGGAAATGATTTTATCTCGACGCTGGTCGTCGGTTCCGGATTCTTTCCTATATCGGCAATCTTGTACCGGAATGGCATTTCGTCCTCCATGTATATTTGATGTGTCGCTGATGGAGTCCATTACACAACGATGAGAACTCTCTCCGAACTCTCTCCGAACTCGCTTTTTCCGTTCCAGTTCCGAGATCGGTGCTACGGGAGCAATACATAGGCGAGGTCGAGCCGGACGAGAGGGAGCTGATATCCGAGTTCGAGGAGGGCTTCGACAGAGTGGACTTCAGGACGGAATTCAGCCCGAGCCCGAATCTCGAAGGACCGCAGCCGCAGCCCCGGGACAATGTTTCGAGAAATCTTCCGACCGTCAGCTCGTCCCCGCCTCGTGCGCGGACCAACAACGACGGTGAGTACCGGTAGCAGAGCCTCCCCCTCGTGTTACTCGGCAGCGATGCACGACATGGATGGCGGCGAAGACGCATTCTAACATGCACGCAGCATGAATTTGTTGCATTTTAATCATGCATGACGGTGGATCGTGTATTTTAAAAAAATGTAATATCAAGTGTACTTTAGCACGGTCTAAAAATGTTAAATTCTTCTCCTACAAAATGTTTCTTTTTAAAGAATTTTTTTTCAGCAAACCACTTTTTTCGAAATGAGAAAAATATGATCTATATTTACGGTATAATGATTAGAAGAGGAATATATAAATGTGTTTTCCGCTTTTTCGATTCAATGGAATTATTATCTGCCATATTTTTTAACAAGCAAGCGCGTACAAAAAAAATCTATCTTTCCGTCGAAAAAATTATATTCTACATTATAGAATAATTCACTAATCTGCAAAATATCTCTTACTAAATAAGCGCCAAGTGTATGTTCTAAAACTGAGAGGATTTCTCTCTAATAATAATAATAGTTTCTCTCTTTAAAATATATTCTTTATTTCATGTACCATTCTTAACGAGAGACCCAATCTAGCTTAATAAAAGACTTTTAAAGAGGATTATTCTGAATTTTTTAGAATATTTTTACAGCAAAGATTTAGAGGAAATTTTTTCTAAAATAAAGAATATAATTTTTTCGATGTTTCGCTTTGCAATATTTCCGAAAATACTTCAATATCTGAATGGCATGCGCGAAATTTTTGCATGTATCTCGCATGATTCGTATTTTTTGCATCATTTCGATACAAATACCGACCATCGTGCATCAAATGCATGTCACACACGTCAGACATTCATATCAAGCGGGAGTTGCATTCACACAGGTAATCCGCGCGAGTGTATTAAAGACGATTAGAGTTGACTTCTCCGCTTCCACATATTATGAATATTTATTTCGGCATGTTCCTTCGTTCCGAGACACATCCGAGCAGCTGATTAATTCTGCCCGTTTATAAATAACCGCATAATTGCGTTGTAATTACATGCGCGTGACGAGGTAAATTATTATTTCCATGACTAATTAATCTTGACGTCGGGAGGTCCATTTGTGCTGTACATCCCGCTGCGTCCACAACTGCGTTATCACGATATGCATAGCGCATTTTTTCCCCCGCGATAAAATTATTATTTTTATGGATCCGCAGAAGATGAAGGGGAAGGGGAGAAATAATGAAAAGGCAGAGCAAATATAAGCGCTTATCGCGCATTGTTCCAAAACAATAGCGTGCGTGAACAATAATACGATATTTAATATGCAACAAATTATATTTAAACGGCACTTTGACAGCCGAAATTGTGAATGGGAATTTCGCTCCAGATTTTCTTGTGTCTCTCGCCGCGTTAATTTTTCACCGCGTCTCGCGCGTTTAAAGGGATGTATTAAAATCCATTTTCGCGCTTCCGTCCTTTTCACGATAGCTGAAAGATTATTGACGCGCTTTTTCCGGGTGTTCTTCTCCTATCGCTACGTAATAAAATGCTCTCATTATGTTGCAAGTGTCCGTTACCTTGTATCGTGAGATGTAATGAAATTATTTATTAGTATCATAAAAAGCATAAAACAAACAAAAACGATGATATTCAGTCGCTTTATATTTATTTTGCTCATAAACATATTTTTTTCGACAAAGATGAAATTCGATTTTTATTTTTTCGTATGAAGAATTTCAATCTTAATCGTACGTGTTGAAAAAAAATGTTAATTTTACTAAATAATTAGTTTAATTAGTTATCATTTTTATAATTGAAATATAATTATATTTAAATATTTAAATCACAAATACATATATTTAAATTAAATACTTAGACAAATTGGAACTAAAAAAATAATAATCAACTTAATCAAGTTGATGAGTTTTTCTCAATGTACATCTTTCGGAGCTATTTTATCGAAGAGATTTTCAAGCAATTCAAGCAATTTCAAATAACATCTATAAATTTTTCGATTCTCTACTAATGCTCTGTAATTTAAAATATGATCAAAAACCAACTGCGTGCACGCGTGAAAGCCACGAGACCGATATTAAAATGAGGCGAAATTATTTGTTTGAAGCAACGGGATATTACTAGCATCAAATGCAACGAATATGTTTTGTGATCCTTCATTATCGTCATCGCATTTTGACGCATTTCAATTCTACTTTTCGCTCGATATTAAAGCCCCACGCGTTTCCAGTGATATAGCTCGACGTTCAATCCGCCAATATATGCCAGTGATGTGGCTCAGTATTTAGGCCAATGCACTTGAATGATTCATCCCGACATTTATGGTCGGATGCATCTCGAGATGCGTTTAAACACTTTAAAGCCCTATTAGGGAACAGAGCTTTTCGCTCCTTTTTTTTTTTGTCTCGGTCCTCCCAACTTTGTAAAATATCATTATCTTATTGAATATAGAAAGTTCACCGCTAAGACCAACTAACTAATAGAATAAACCAACCGTTTCATCGGTCGGCGGGGGTGAAAGCCAACTCATTAAAGCACGGGCGGAATTAGGTGGGTCGATCGGTTCGGAAGTTTGGCTTCAAAGATCGCTTGACCGGGCACAGTTCCTGTAATTGGATATGCATTCACTCGAACACTTCTTGCTGACACCTTTGCTTCGTGGTCCATTGCATTATTTACTATTGCCTTCGGTCGTTCACTCCAATGGTTTCTACAAAGTAAAAAGCAATATACAGAAATATATACATTAGAATGTAAAGAGAAATAAATGAAGATAAAGAAAGAAGGATAGATAGTAGAAAAAGAGAGAGACAGAGAGGGAAGGAGAAAAGGAGAGAGAATATAAAGTAATAAAAATATGAAACACATTAATAAAAATATGGAACACATTTATTATATGTATTATATGTGTATATTTTTTTTTTAAATTAAACATAAAACTCTCATTCAAATTTTTATATTTAATAGAAACACATGTGATGTATAAATTTTCATGACGCATTAAAATTTTCCGCTTTGCCTGGAAAAACTAAAATTACTTATATTTTTAATTTATATATAAAATATATATATTTTTATCTGCTTATTTAAAAACGTCCAGCTAAAACAGGGATTGAAGAGAACGTACAAACCAATTCACGTACAAACCAATTCAAAGATAAAAACCGATAATGCTTCGATAAATTGCTTCGAATGTAAATTAAATATGACATATCGGTAATACATTCGTAACATATTCAATGTAATATCAATACGTGATAGAGCAATGAAATATACATACATCTTGATATATACATATTGTATTATCTATTATCTCATTGCGGTGAATATGCGAGTAAATGAGAAACTCGCTCAATCTCGAAGCTATAACGTTTCGGGTATTTATGTTCCGTAGCCGCAATTCGAGATACATTGAAATATTAATTAACGATGATAAAATTGGTAGGAGATTAAGCTATAAACGAGGGAATCCGACGGGATAAAAATAAAAAGAGCTTTTATAGATTTCGTTTTAATTATGTTATCAAAAGAGTGAGAGGGAGAGCGACGTGTGTGTAACTGTATTAATAAAAAAATTCTCTTTTAGCCATCGAAAAGAATTCCTGCAAATTTTAAATTCTCTCGTGTGATCTCTATTTTTTCTACATCCAATATATCCATACCCCATAGCCGCGCCTCACAGCTGTTAATTTTATAAATATCCACCTTTGTCTGACATGTTGTTGTGCTAACCCTTGAGTGCATATTTTTAATATCAGAAAATTCTGTAACACGTCGTTTAACTCTGTGACTGACGGACAGCTGGTTATCCAGGAAAAAATCAATTTTTGCAATGTGCATTCGCTAAACGTTCATTAATCTTCAAGCGTTGCACTATATCTCGAGCAGCGCAATTTATTTTACATCGTCAAGTGTGTGCAAAAATTCGCGGAGTTTAAAACGATTACAAGTGCAAATCTTCATCGTTTATTTGCTCGAACGAGAGAGAGAGAGAGCCATGTGTTTTCCCTTCAGTTTTCGAAGGGTTATTTTGGGTTCCACTTATACGTCACGGAGCGGTTAGTAGCTTTAATGAGGTTCGTCGACCAGGCGTATATAACGCGATTGTGCTAAGAGACCCTTCGTCTCTCCGTCATTGTTTCCGCGCATAATGACTACGTTGCGTGTGCCGCTTTGATGTCCGCTTTATATTATCGAAATTATGTTATCGTTGTTGAATAAAGTAAGCCCGCACGAACGGAAAAAAAAATGATTTAAGTGTCGGAAAAAGAGAATGATTTTTGTTGATACATAATGTTACGGATATCGCATTCCGTTCTAATTGTTTCACGTTTGACGTCTTATAAAATATGCAATAAGGATATTTGCATCTTTATGCAAAAGAATTCTCGAAAGTATTTCATCTTAAACCCTCAGAAAGACGTATAATTTACTTTCATAAATTTTTTCCAAAGTAAATTGATAGAATTTTGCGACGATGACCGACTTCTCATCAGTTTTCTTATGGTACAAAAATTCGAGTGAGAGAAAATTAATATTGATATTAATTCGTAGATTATTCAAAAAAGGAGACGAAATTTGCTCGAGATATAACATGTTACAAAAAACGAGGAGATTTCATCAAACTCATCATCCTCGATCAAAACACACATTCATCGGTCTTCATCCCCCTCGCTCTCGAGGGAATCACTGTCACGTGTAAACGCAATCAGACAAGGGGAGAAGATACACACACAAAATTCACTTCTTTCGTTTGGCGTTTCCATTGACCTGTAGAAATTGAAAGAAAGTGGATAAAGTTTTTCATGGAAGAATAAAAGATACGAAGTCGGCGAAAATATAGAGATATAAATATTATATGTCATATCAAAGTGTACTTCATGTGTGAAATCGTTGAATAAAATACATAAAGCATTAAAAAATCCGTGTAAATCCGTTTATTCTTTAAATATAGATGTATAAAGAGTAAAAAACAATCTAGAAAATAATATTCGCAATGATTTATGACATT